ATATCTCCTGACAAACTCAAACCTCATCGCGACAAAAATATCTTTGAAGCAGCTTTTGTCGCGTGCAGTGTTTTGAGTTTGTCGAAAAATGAGTTTTTGACGAATAATGGATTTATTATAGGTCTGGACACTACCTCAACAGAACTCTCCGTAGTAGAATCTATATTCAAACTAGGTGACCATGGTCAACCGACTGCCATTAGCACACAGCTTAGAGATACTCTTATCGAAAGTTTGCTATAATAGTGCACTAAGATACTCTGGAAATTGTGTTCTGATGTTTGGGGTGCCCGTGTTAAAATTTTATTGCATTGTTGTCACACTGATATTTCTATATTTGTTGTTCTGTTGTTCGTGCGCTGTACGTCTGTTGATTGCAAAATAAACAGTTAAACATGTTGCTATTCAAATCTGTGGTAAAGAATAACAGACGTCGCTTCGTCAAAGCCTTGTGGTTATTTGTGTGCTTTGAATTTTTTAACTTTTTGTTTCGTTCTGCTCCAAGCATTGGAGAATCCTTGAACACGCTTTGACTTTCCTTACTTTCTTTATCCCAAAGCATTGGTTTTGATTTTTATTCAATAGTGTGTTCTTATTGGTGAAACGAACCGTGCAGATTGCCGGCATGCAGTGATCACGTTATCGTTTGTCCTGTGAACCCCTCCGTCGCGTTGATCGATTGATGACATCAATTTCGTAGCTACGGTGTAGTCTTGTCGTTGCGCTTATTATGGGCTAGTCCTGTGCTGTCGTCTTACTGCCTTGAGCCTATTCCTTTCAATCATGACGAACATTCATCTGGAAATCGACGATCTGACTAGAGTTTTGAGCACATATGCTGGAAGAGATAAAGCTGTACGATCTCTATACTTCCTTCTTACTCTGAAAGCCCACTCGTCTAGCAGAAAGGATGAGATACTGGCTCTCGCTAAGCAGTGTTCTGCTGCTCGTCTGGTTTTGCGGCAATTCAATCACCCTTCTATGATCAAGTCTCTTCGGCAGATTTTGACTTCCCGACCGTCTGATTCGATTGACTATGCTTGTTCGGCCACCGTGACAGGTGCATACACAGTATATGGAATTGTCGAACTTTTGGCTTGGCTATCCGATGCCAAATTGGTAGCCATGGACTCTGCGCGATTGTGGAGGTTGTGCTTGTATCTCTGGATCACTGCTCTCATAGCTGGAATCATACGACAGATTCGATCGATTTCCAAGAAAGGTATTGAGAAATCAAAAGAAGATTTGCTCACTCTAGTAGCTCTTTCTAGTGATTTCATAGCTGCAATTCATTCTCTTCCTCATAAGATTTTGTGGTCTGGTAAGCTTACGCCCACTCAAAGTGCCACATTCTCACTTATTGCCTCCCTTATTGGATTTTATAAGATATTCTGAGATTCTTCTGTCTAAATAACTGCAATCTCTGTTTATCCTGTAGTGATTGTGAAGTCTGACAGTCTTAACGAACGCGTTTGTAATCATATTAAAACTCTTTCTTCCTTTTCTACATATTTGTACATTACTTTGAATGATAGATGTTGAGGAAATATAGCCCTATTCATCGTTGATACAGCTCAAGGATTTCGTTATTCACATTTTTGGAATAAATTTTCAAGAGATAGTGGAAATGTTGGAATATGAAGACACAAGGGAAGCTCGGGTTCAAAGCACATTCCGCATGTTTCTTTCCCATGCCGACGTAGTTCCGATCGTTTCTATTTTCCTCTCGCCTTCGAGCGCTATGTGGAATGTCGGCTATGTCTGGGAGCGGCGATGGACACGTGGCGCTCCGTTCACCGAGCTATTCTCGATCTTGGCTCAGTTTCCAGCGCTATCTGGTCGTAAGAACACCCTTCTTTCTTAGTTTTTCCACGAGTTGCATTTTTCTGAGGCCGATTAAGTTCTAGGCAGGAGCTCAACAGGAAACCATGTTTCGTTTAACTCTCATGAAATTTGTAGTTTTCATATTCTGCGTTGCTTCATGTGCAGGAAAAACGGGTTGATCCTCCGAGCTTTCCCATGGACCTTATTCTGAATTGCTCACTTTTTTATTTAGTACGATTAATTATGGATTTGAAATTTGGCTTTCGTCCATAGGAAATCGAAGTTTTCCAGCGGAACGGTAGGCAACTGCTTGGCCCTATTTCGGCATTATTAAACTTTATGAACCTTTCCACTATTTCGATTTTTTAAGTTCCACAGCGTTGTGCAATCTGTGCAGTTTTTACCAGCGAAAATCAATATTAGTCCATTGTACTTGCGTATCACCCTGGCAGTC